ATATTTAAAATTTTAAAATTCCAGGAGTGCACAGCAGCAAATGCAGCTGTGCAACATCTACGATTCATAACAAGCAATAAAAAATACATTTTCCCACTCGTAGGCAGATGGCAAATGGTGAGAAAATTCGAAATAATGATGGTGGGAAGATGTAAAGGTGGTGGGATTGGTATTGAAATATTGAATGTAAACAATTACTGTGAACAGCTTTATGAAAATAAAAACAAAAAATCTAAAAATAAATAAAAAGAAGGGATTCTGGCTGGAAAGAGTATAGCAGTTAAAATTCTAGCCTTGCATGGAGCAAACCTAGGTTAGATCACAGCACTACATATAGTCCCTTAAGCACATAGCCAAGAGTCAGTCCCAAGCAATGTTGGGCAAGGCTCCACTCTCCAAGATAGAAGGGACTCAGAATTCTTTTGTTTCTCCTGACAGACCTGTTGCAGAGAGTCAATCCTCTAGGAATGACTTTTTAAGCGAGAGAACTGTTAATCTGGGTCACCTGCCCATTCTCCCACTACGGTTATTTTTACATCTTAGAAACCATTACTTAAAACTAAAAACCTTTCAGAGATGTTTTTGCAAAGTGGACTGTAGCCCAAAAGGATGCAAATTTAAACTTAAAATTGTTAAGTAAATCTTAACTATTAAGTACAGAACAGAGCACATTAATAGCCAAATTGCAAGGTATCATTTGGAGATAATTATAAAGACTCAAAACTTTTGGAACTCTTATATGGTTTCAGTTTGAGTCAAGTTAGTTGGCAATGCTCCCTAATAATCAGAAGCCTGGCATTAATTGGGCCTAATATTGAAGGTAAAATAAGATATATGAGTCGAATATTTTTTTGTAAATCTAGAGTAAGCATTTAGTTGAGAGAATCTCACTGGGCCTGATAGTTTCTTCTAATGTACTTACACCAAACTCTTGGAAAATTCGTAATTAAATGTAGTTTAGATGGAGAACATAATTCAAGGCTGAGACAATGTTCTAATAGGACATAGCCATGAGACTACAGCTCACTCCAGCTAGGAAAAGTCATAAAACAAGACAGTAATGAAGCTCATTTGCAAGGGAAATGCAGCATTTGCGCCAGTGGAGCTTATTGCTTTCCTTAAATGTAAAAAAGACTTCTTTTAACCTGTAGGAAGCTCCTATTGCTCCTCTTTTTCCCCTCCCTGCCTCCAATTCTTTTCTCTCCCTCTCTCTACATCTCTCTCCCTCTTTCTCTCTCTTCTGCCTCCCTTTCTCTGACTTTATTACCAGAATTACCTCCCTGTACTGTAGTGAGAAGACACAATATGTTGAAATGACCCAGAATTAAATGGCAGTGAATTCATAACTATATAAGAATAATGAAAAGAACATGACTGAATTAAAGAGGATATTTAAGACTGAGAGAAATGTAATATAGGAATTAAAAGGGTAAAGACCAGGAATCTAAATCTACAGTGTAATTTAATTTTTGTTCCTAGTACTTCTATAAAATCACAGAGAACTCTGAATTAACAAATACTGAGTCCTTGCTCCTAGGGGAAATATAGGGCTCAATTCTTATGAGCTCTGCTCATCTGATAAATTTATGTATTTTTGTATGTGTTTCTGTTTAAAGACACCTGATTTCATCAGTATTGTTGCTTCCTTTACATTAAACTCATGGCTAACAGCATGGTTACTCATACTGAAGGGAAGTTTATCTAATAAAAATAACTTTCTTGTGCCTAGAAATAGCAGACAATGGAGCGATAGCACAGCGGTAGGGCTTTGCCTTGCACGCAGTCAATATGGCCGACCCGAGTTCGATTCCTCCACCCCTCTTGGAGAGCCCAGCAAGCCACCGAGAGTATCTCGCCCGCAGGGCAGAGCCTGGCAAGCTACCCGTGACGTATTCCATATGCCAAACACAGTAACAACAAGTCTCACGATGGAGACGTTACTGGACCCCCTGGAGCAAATCAATGAACAACGGGAGGACTGTGACAGTGAACTGTGACATAAGCCATTTTTGTGGTAGTCATTTTTGACATGATTACCAAAATAAACAATCACATCAAAATGTCAAAATGTAGTTTAATGGAACTGACTAGGAAGAGGACACTTTCACAGCATTACTGTCAAAACATAAAGGCAGGGTGTAATTTTTTTCTGCCTTAATGGAACAGGACATATTGGGTAACTCAATACCCTCAACACTTCACTCTCTTGCATTTATCTGCATAAAACCATGGGAACAACAAGAGTATTGATCACAAATATATGTCAGTAAATAGGCATAATCACAAAGACAGAAAGAGAAATAAAGAAGATGGACTAAATTTGAAAGGCTATGCTGTTATTTAGCCATTATGGGGAAGTTAAGCTTTCTCTGTCAAGCAAGCTTTGTAATTTCAGCCTCTGTTCCTTTATTTTTCTGAGAATGCTTACTTTTTCATGAGAATTTTCTCTTCTTCAAGAGTGTTTTAATTTCTCTTTTTCCTGCTGATATTTTAATTTTATGTCCACTCTTTGTAGCCAAGTGCTACAAGTACCCGCCACCCAAACTAGACCAGCAGGAATCTCTACCCCAGGAATACCAATCCTAAACTGAGTCACACAGAATAGAAAATGGATGAAGATGATTCGTGCAGAGTGTGGCACCAGCAGACTTGGTCCCATAAATTCTATACAAAGAATTCCTCTCTATGATGAGTAAGACACTTTTTGGCTTCTTTCTAGATCAGTAGCTATTCTCCATTCTTTAGACTTCTCCTGTGATTTTGACCGATTCTAAAAGGTATGTGTGTTTTTGGAGTGTGTGGTATGTGGGTCTGTGTTGTAGGAGAATAGAGAGGGTGGTCTAAATTCATTTGAACCTTTTTTTCTACCTAACTCTAAACTTTTACTCGCAGATTGAGATAGAATAATTGAAATATGAATAATAATATTATGCACATATTTTAAGAGCAGAGAGTGTGACCTTGATATGTGATTGTGGGTAATATTCACCTATTTTTAATGCATTTGCTAGGTATTAAAAATGGGGGAGGGGGCGAGAGATATTATACAAGGGTAAGATTCTTGCCTTGCACTCAGGCATCTCTAGTTGTATCCTGCAAGCCCTTCCATGAGCAATCTCTGAATACTGAAAAAGGAATAAGTTCTGAGTTCCTCTGAATGAGTATCTCAACACCCCACCCCACCCACATACAAACGAACAGAAAAGCACTCCAGTCTAACAATCTTCAGCTTTATTTATTGACAGTTAAATTTCAATGGCCTGTGAGCTTGCGCTTAACTTTCTATCAATAGTAAAAGCATAGGGCTGATAGGGACTGGAAGGTTCTGGAAAGCAGTAGACAAATTTTTCTTTCCTTATTTCCTAAATGCCAGTGAAGAAAAAAAAGTCTATATGGTTAGTTTTCATTCGAGTAAATGAAATAAATCTTAAATAGCAAAAATTTCTTCAATTACATAATTTTAGTCTGATTATCTTTACTGTTGAGATGAAAAATTGGTTTTATAGTATGACATTCCAGGTTACTCCCACATTGTTTTTATTTGAAAATGAATTACAAAATTAACCCTGGTATTTTAAGAAAGCTACTCATAAAATCCTACTGAGTCCCTCCAGTCATCCATTTAATAAACATCTAGCAAGCACCTGCTGTGTTTTTACTCATAGAACTAAGCATTAGGAACACAGACACTACACTGAGAATGGATGACAGTAGGGAAATCTGGATGGTGACAGCTGACAGGATGACTGGATAAGAGACTTGATTTAACCATGGATGATTGTGCCTCCCAGACGTGGCATTCTTGGAATCATTTCTGAGGGATGTCTTCTTAGAATCTACCTTATTAACTATGGTAACAGATTTAAGGGGAACTCAGAAATAACTCAGGGATATGCCACTCTAGATGTCTAGAATCAGATTTCAAAGGTCAGAATGTTGCCTGAGTTTTCAAACATATGATGTATAACAACAATATACTACATGCAAATAAAAGGTAGAGTCAGAATACAGCATGGTGAGTGGGAGGTAGACTAGAGTTACTGGAAATCTTTTAGAAAACCTGAAGCAGGGCATATTAAACATTAGCAGATGGAAAGTCCCAGACTCATTTTTTCATGCTGAAAATATGGAAGTATGGATTCAATTTTGTATCCATTAGTACAATTGAAGACTAGGTAGCCCTTTGACATATTCCAGTCCCCTTCACCATGATGCAAAGGAATTTATATTTCAGTTATAAAGAGACACTCTTACCACCTTTAATTTTTTAAAGTACTCTGCAGTCCAGAGGGCCTCTTACTGATAGCTACACTGTCTAATTTCAAGAATTTCTTTATTGTTTCTGTGGCAAATTTGGAATAAGGATACTTTGTGATTGACTTGTGTGACAAGGGGTTCCTTTCCAGCTTGGAGGGATGAGTGATGGGCCTCAAGTCTGAGATCTCACCTTTTTCCAAGGTGTGCAACAACTTCTTCTAGGCTTTCTAGCCAACCTATTCTCCTTAGGTATTGTTGCAACTTGCCTTCCAAACCAGGGTTGACCTTCTATGTTAAGAAAAATGATGCTCTCAAGGGTGTCCGTGTCCTAATTAATACCTGAAACCTGCAATTTATGAATCTGTCACCTAATGCACAGGTCTTTAGAATTTTGATATGCAGATATTATGTAGGATTATCTGGGTAGAATATTGTTCTACCAGTCTTTGTAAACTAAGAAAGTTTGCAGGAGAATCATGTTTGAAACTCGTGAATAGCTGGTTTAGAAGATTAAAGAAGGGATCAAGGACAAACAACGGTCTCAAAAATATGGAACGCCCAAAAGTAGAGAGAAGGTAAAGGGGAAATTTTCTGCCCCCTTGAGGAAGATGAGGGGTTGGATGGGGAGTGGTGAAATATTGGTGGTGGAAAATACACTGGTGGAGGCATGAATGTTCGATCATTGTATGACTGAAACGGAAACAGGAAAGCTTTACATAAGCTCATGATGGGGATTCAATAAAAAATATATGAAAAGCTTTATGAATTTGTATGTCATGCTTGAACAGGGGCCATGCTAATCTCTTGTAACATTACAATTTTAATATACATGTGCTGAAGCAAACACAAACAGTGGTCTCTAAAAGTTGGCCTAGACAGGGCAATCTAGCATAGAACTTTCAGAAGGTATGTAGAGCTATTGAAACCTTGATTTTATCCTCGTGAAGCCCATTTTACAAATTCTGACCCCCTTAAATAAAAGATAGTAAAATTGGGGTGTAGGAGTTGTCACTGCAAATGTTAAAGCAGTAATAGGATGCTCTTACAAAGTTCCTTTCCTTAGGAGGTGCAGATGGGAGGAAGGAGGGCAAGAAATCCAGCTTTTCTTCCTGCTCTGGTATTACTGTATTTGGGGCTGGAGCAATAGAACAGCGGTAGGGCATTTGCCTTGCACACAGCCAACATGGCCGACCCAAGTTCAATTCCTCCACCCCTCTCGGAGAGCCAGGCATGCTACCGAGAGTATCTCGCCCGCCCAAAGGGCAGAGCCTGGCAAGCTCCCCGTGACGTATTGGGTATGCCAAACACAGTAACAACAAAGTCTCCAATGGAGACATTACTGGGCCTGCTCGAGCAAATTGATGAACAATGGGAGGACAGTGATATATTATGACATGCTCTACCATCCGCTCTACAGAACTGGCTTCCTCAGATCGTGGCCTAGTCCAAGCACTAAAGCAATTTGCTGCCACTTGAAAGATATTTTTTTGAAAGGATTCTTTCCTCTGTGTGTAAGGAGTGGGGCAAGACACAGGGATTAGTCTAGAATGTTTACTTCTGGAGGACCGGAGCAGGATTTTAGTGAGGGCTTTCAATACCTGAGTTTCTATTATTTAGAATGGAAAAAAAAAGACTCCTTTCTTTTTATGGTCAAATAACAAATCCCTTACTCTAAACACTGGATTCTTTTTTTGTTTGTTTTTTGCATTTGGAGATGGTAATGTTAGCTGCCAGAATGGCTTATAATCCTTTATTTGAATGACATTCAAATAGCAAAAGGGGTTTACTTACACCACACGGAGTACATATGGGATCTGGTTCACTTTGCATTTTCTACAAAAGGGATTTTCACTGTTCAAAAGCAAGCCAACCTGTTCCGTGAGATTTCATGAACCTTGTGATTTTTCTCCCTTCTGCTCAGCTGCATCTAGTTCCCAACTTCTGGGATCTGAAGAATATTTTGGATCATAATATCTGAGAAAAACTGGTTTAGGGTTCACTCCCCAGATAGAGAATGGTGTTGGGACATGAGTTGAGACAGAATTGGATGCTTCAGTTTTCTCACGTGTAAATGAGACTGAGATAGAGAAATAACTCAAATGGGCTGGAACATATGCTATGTATGCAGGAAGTTTGTGCTTGATTTCAGGTACCACTTGGTCACTTGAAAACTGCTGGGTGCACAACCAGAGAGGTATACAGTGGGTGGGGTAATTGCCTTGCGTGAAACCAACCTGTATTCTATCCCAGCACTCTAGATAGTCCCCCGAACTCACCATGAGTGAGTTCAAACTGCAGAGACAGGAGTAAACCCTGCCACTGCCAATCCCCCAAACCAAAATCACCACCACCACCACCACCACCATCATCATCATCATCATCATCATCATCATCATCATCATCATTATCATCATCATCATTATCATCATAATCTGCTGGGTTACATCATCATCCCTTGGGCAACAAACTGGAAATATCCTCTAGCACTGCCGGGTTGGGCCCATCCCTCAATTTCAAGATACTTAAGGACACAGAGGTATGAGACATACTAATGAATTTGTCAACCTTGCGAACAGGTTACCAGTAGATGAGTTTCCTAGACTCTCTTCACCCAGAAGTCAACCTGTCTTCAACATTCCCAATGTTTTTTTTTTTTGCTTTATAAACCTTATTTTTTATTTAGACACCATCATTAACAAAGTTGTTGACAATAGAGTTTCAGGTAAACAATGTTCTCATCTCGAATCCTACCAAGAGTGACTACATGCCCCACTCCAGGTTTTCTCCCATACCCCAACATGTAAATGGATAAACACATTTCAAAGTTGAATTATTGTAGCTTGAATTAATTTACTGTTTGCAATAGTGTTGGCTGTAGCAATTTATCTGTATACAGATACTTTGCTTCTACACCCAGCCAGGTCCAAGGTCTCTACTTCCTGTCTGCCTCTTTTAACTTTCCCCTACAATTCTTTCCTGACATTTTCATTTTTGTCATTTAGTGCCCATAGTTTTGCACGCCATTGATACCTTTCAGCCACTAGACATATTATTCTACGTAATACACTCTTATAAGATCATCCAGTATTTGTACTATTTCCTTAGAGCTTGCTTCACTTAGTTGAGATCCTCCTGTTTTATCCAAGTTGCACATATTGCATGATTCCATCATTCTTGGAAGCTGCGTAGTGTTCCACTGGGTTTCCAGTTTCTTCAGATAAAATATATTTATTGTTCCCCTCTCCAGGGGGCCAAAGCATCCTAGAGTTCAGCCCCCACCCCGCCTCCTCCCAACCTGGCCCTGGGGAATTCAGAGCTACGGGGAAGCCCTGCAGAGCAAGCCCGAGGCTTCTCTGCAAGATGAAGCGAGACAGGCAGCAAGAACACCCTGTGCTCACCAGAAGCTGCTGTGGATGGGGAGGAACAAATCACACCTCTTTTTATATAAGGCTTCATATTTAATTTGGTCATGAATTCATAAACACATGAATATTTTGTACCTAAAATACATACAGTTTTCCATTTTTCTTTCTAGGGAACTTGAACAAAAAGTGCTCTGTCTGGCAGAGGCAATGCTGAAATCAAAGGAAAGCAGTCAGAATAGAGGTTTGGATACAGAGTAGCAGGATGGGGTACCATTATGCTAGGGCAGGGATGTGAAAGAGCTGAGAGGACAGTTCTGGCATTTTCTTACTTCATTAACACCCGAGCAGTCCAGAGTGTACCTAAGTTTGTCCTTCCATCTCTTAGGTCAGGGCCCTGGGTGAGGATAGGGATGTGGCAAACAAGAACAGGAAAGGCCCAATCCAATGCCAACTCCTAGAGACCAAAAGTATGCCCTCCTAGCACAGCATGGCAGTCCAATTAGCACATTCTTCATGGGACAAACAGCACACATTCATTTACCCAGAACCAGTGCCCTGGTAATGGAACTGCACTTCTCTTATTCTGCACAGAAGCTTTAAATGGGATAGTTGTTTGCACATTTCTAGGTACACACACCCCACCTACTGGTCTTTGATTCTGGAAGGTCTTCCTTTCATCTCTATTGCACTTCAGTTTTCTACACCCTCCAACTTGGGAATGTGTGCTTTCAAAATGACACTGTGAAGGTCATGATGCTTGGGATGTCAAATTGTTTTAGACTTCAGAGGATTTTTGAAATGTATACATGCAGAGACAGAGAGAAATATATATTGACAAAAATATTAATAATTTTAAATCATTGACAATTATATTGACAAATTTTTCACTTAATCACTTGACTTCCCATTACTCATCTATTTGCTCAAACGGGTGCCAGTAACATCTCTAATCGTCCCTGTCACGTGCTAGTGTAGTCCAATGGCGACTGTTTGTTCTAGAAACATGAAGAGCCTCAAATAATCATTCAGGGTCTTGACGAAGAAGTCTGACCATCTTGTAGGTGGGCGGTCATGCAGTCTTTTGGCATCCTGAGGAATCCAGTTGGTAACGTCTCTAGTCCAGCGGTAGTCTCCAAATCTCATTACATGTCAAGCCCATCTGATTTTCTACACCTTGGCAAACAAGACAGTGCCCCTGATTCTTGACCATCGATGGAGGTCAGAACTTCAGATTCTTTCGCTCATTTGAGTGAAACATGATACGCCAAGCATAGCTCTTTCAATTCCTCTTTGGGAGACTGGAATAGCCTCCTCATCCTGTTTTCATATGGCCCAGGTCTCTGAGGCATATGTTAATGCAGGAAGAAAAGTGGACTCGAAGAGATGTGCCCAGAGCCAGAGGTTCTTCATCCTCTTAGGTATTTCTTTGACACTCTTGAAGGCATTTCAAGCCGCTCTCTTCCTCCTGTGAAACTCAGGTGCCAGATCATTCGTCATGTTGACTTCTCGACCTAGGTACACATAACTGTTGCATTCGGAGATGGTCGTTCTGTTGAGAGTGAATGGAATGTCAGGAATGAGATTGTTTCTCATAAACATTTCTCATAAACATTGTGAGAGTCAGATGGAGTCCGACCTTTCCACACTCACGGTCGAAGTCGGCCAGCATTTGTGCCGCTTGGCTAATGTTTAGTGTTATTAGAACAATGTCATCAGCAAAGCGGAGGTGTTGTACTTGCTGGCCATCTATCTTCACTCCCATTCCTTCCCATTCCAGTCGTCGCATGACATTCTCGAGGGTGGCACTGAAGAGTTTTGGTGAAATGATATCACCCTGCCGAATCCCTCTCTTAACATTGATGATCACTTCTTTGTAGAATGGTGAGATCCTGGTAGTGAATCCGTAATACAGCTCACGGAGGATCCTGATGTATAGAGTTTGAATGCCCTGATTGGCTAGGGTATTGATGACCGCTTCAGTCTCAACAGAATCAAAAGCCTTCTTTAAATCAGTGAACGTTAAACAGAGTGGCATCTTCAACTCCCGAGAAATCTCAATCAGCTTGGTTATTGTGTGAATATGGTCGATGGTGCTGAATCCTTTGCAGAACCTGGCTTGCTCGCATGGTTGTCCTTCATCTAGTGTTCTGCCAATTCTATTCAGGATGACTCAAGTGAACAGCTTGTAGATGACAGATAACAGGCAGATAGGGCGATAGTTGCCAATGTGAATGTCTCCCTTCTTGTACAGTAGTACAGTCCTGCTGGTTTTCCATTGGAATGGAACCTTGCATTCAGACAGGTAGCATGTGAAGAGCCGAGCACTGGCTGATGAGTACTGATGGCAGGTTCTTCAGGTCTTCAGGTCTGACCTTGTCTGTGCCAGGTGCTGTTCGATTCTTTACCGACGAAATGGCGTGTCAGATTTCGGAAGAGAGATTGTTGGGAACGACATATCCATCATGCAGAATTTGGTATGT